GAGGCAAACCACACATGAATGGGCGGAACTAGGCTCACTTCCTCAGAGGCAAACCACACATGAATGGGCGGAACTAGGTTCACTTCCTCATAGGCAAACACAGGATGTGAAATTGTACTGTGAGGAATAAAAATGGAGGGAGGTTTCAGGAATAAACACGGACAGCTCGATTTGGGGGCAGTTTGATACAGAGCCACTGAAAGAGGAATCGGGGACGCACTGATAGATTGAGCATCGTGCACAAATCAATACGAACCGGGGAAGGGAGTGCAGATGAACTCAAGGGTAAACGGCACCGTAATTTCCAAATTCCATTTCATTCAGTCTTGGTACTAGTACATCGGTCCCGATACATCAAGCAGGAACAGAGCAGAGCAAACAACACCGAAGAGACCACGTACCCTAGACAAATACTGCTAATCTCTTTGCTTGCTTGAAGATCCCGGCGTCGGTGGCCTAGCCGCCGAAGCCGTAGAGGGTTCGGCCCTGGCGCTTGAGCGCGTAGACGACGTCCATGGCGGTGACGGTCTTGCGGCGGGCGTGCTCGGTGTAGGTGACGGCGTCGCGGATGACGTTCTCGAGGAAGATCTTGAGCACGCCGCGGGTCTCCTCGTAGATGAGCCCCGAGATGCGCTTCACGCCGCCCCGCCGCGCCAGCCGCCGGATCGCCGGCTTCGTGATCCCCTGGATGTTGTCGCGGAGGACCTTCCGGTGGCGCTTGGCGCCGCCCTTCCCCAGCCCCTTGCCGCCCTTGCCCCTCCCGGACATCTTCGCCGCCGCTGATTCGCTTCTCTGTTGTCTCTCCGGTGGGATTGGCTTGTGTTGGGAGTGGTGGAGGTGGAGGTGGAGGATGGTGGTGGAGCGTGGGGTGAGGTGGGTTAATATAGCCGCGGTGTTCGGGGGGCTGGCGAGAGGCCGCGATCCGCGTGACGCGTGATTTCCGCCGTTGGATGGCGGATCGATGGTGGAGAGTGGGCAAGGAGGGAGCCACGGATCGATGACGTGGCGGAGGGTGTAGTGTGGGGTAGGCGCGGAGTGGTTTTCGATGCCGGGGATTTGCGCGCGTGCTTTTCGGTTGCGTTTTTTGCTGGTGGCCACTGTGCAAGGGCGGCAAGGGGCTGGGCAAAAATGTGGAAAATTGATGTCCCTTTTAAGATAAAAAATCTTTATCTGGAGGCTTGCTCGGCAATCTTTGCCTACGGCAGATTTATTACATCACCAAAAACATGGCGACTCAAGCAGTGTGCGGACCATGGGGGACACCGGATTCTTGGCAACATTCTCTGATTGAGTGTAACATGGCACTTTGTGTTTGGGCGATTGAGGACGAAGACTTGGTGGATGGAAGTAATGATGGAAAATAGAGAACCTGATACGAAGTGATTTATATTTTCTCTCATGGAGGCCTTACCACATGTAGATTTCACCAAGCTACTGATGACACTTTGGGCAACTTGGCACTTACGCATAAAGGCTCTACATGAGCAAATATTTCAGGGGCCTTTGGCCATGAGCTGCTTTGTCAAGAGGTATATAATGGAACTTGAGTTGAGTAAACCGAAGAAACAGTTGGGACAACCCCATGTAGCTCATGTTCAAGGCTAGAAGATGGATCCCACCGACTGATGGAGTAGCTAAAATTCGAGTGGATGGTGTCGTGGCTCGTGAATTGTTTCAAGGGTCCTTTAGTGCTATTTGCAGAGACTCCACAGGCAAGTATTTGGGTGCTTCGGCGATTAAGTGCTCCAGTATCACCGATCCCTCTACCTTGGAGGCGTTGGCATGACGGGAAGCGCTAGCTTTAGCTCTAGACCTTTCTGTAACAAATGTATAAATTGCCTCCGACTGCAAATGTGTTGTGAATGACATTCTAAGAAGCATGGGCGACATGCATGCTAGTATTATCAAGGAGATCAACTTTACGTCTACACGCATACCTCGATGTTCCTTCATCTTTGAAGGAGGAGAGACAAATATTTAGGCACATAGTCTCGCTAACACACTTTAGGCCTTTCTTTAGGACGTCATGTGTGGCTCCTTAATACTCCAAACCTAAGTTGTATCCCTATGAATTTGCTTAATGATCAATAAAGTGGAGTGTGTTTAGACTAAAAAGATATTTTCAATTCTCCAAAAGAAAATTCAAAAAAGAGAGGCCAAGTTTGCTCAAAAAAGAAATAAGAGGCAAAAGATTTGCCTCATCGATTAATTAAGCAGAAGATAATTGCCTGGTTAATTGATAGAAACCGAATGAAAACCGTTACAACACGACCACCCGCAGACTACTCCCAAAGCATGAATCTCGACAACCACCTGAGCATACGGACAAACGCCCCCATCCCGCTACAAGCATAACCTCGCGGGCCATGGAAACTCAACAACGCAAAGAAGCCCCATCGTAAACACATCGACAAAGACATCATGCACAACAACCTAAAAAGAAGATAACCATCTACCAAGTAACCACGCACGCTTTCCCTATGACGCCATCTTCTTGCTTTTGCTCCCAAATGATTTATCCTTCGGAATGCCAGAACGATGGCTAGCGCATGCCCTCTTGCTCTTGTCCCCCTGGTTGCCTTCTCCTTTAGGTGGCAACCGAACCGCCTTGCTAGATCCAGGGTTAGCAATCTCCAATCTGGCGATCAATTCTCAAAACTTTCTAGCAAAGATAGCCTCAGAAATAGGTGCAAATGCACCAGTGCCACAACCTCGTCGCTCCCAGGAACCACCTGGCTGAAGGACTCAAGCGAGTGAAAAGCAACTGTGCCCAAACCTCCACACTCCACAGTGACGACAACATGACTGCTCTCTGACGGTGGTGTTGTGGGTGGTGGCAACACCGCGGCCGAGGCCACAAGCGAGTGCACATGTACCATCAACAGAAGCAAAGCGTGCTTTCCACCCATCATCCGTAGCTCAGGCATGATCTGCAACACCGGAGCCACAACGTCGGTGATGTCCTCGCACCTAAAGGCAGCCAACACATCAAACAACGGTGATGGGCAGGGCCTAACTTGAGGGGAGAACCACCAAAGAGGATTACTTCCCGTCCACCCCACGAAATCAACTGCACTAGGAGGGTGCGGCGCCATAGTGGTGTACAACATAGCCTGCACATGGGAGAGTCCCCTCAGAGCAGCCTCCGCTCGCTCCAAAAAGCTCCCAGCCCACGCCAGACGGCCTCACAGCAACGCAGTTTGCAGCCAGAGCGGGATGCAAGACCACTTCGGACAGGGTTGCCGAGACAGTGGTAGCAGAGACGCCAGTCGCCCAAGACCAATGGTGAAGCACCTTGGAGGGGAACGGGGATGCCATCAGACCCTCACATGAAGCTGAAGTCGTACAATGCATGGGGCCGAGGCGGGAGATAGGCGGCACGGCCAGGCTTGCCATCGAGCTCATGAGACGCCATGGATTGCGGTACCCGCGAGCCTGCTTTAATGAAACATTTGCACAATCACATTCAAAATAAGGAAACATTTAAACCATATTTTTTCCCTAACTTTGATACTATTTGTTGACCAATGATTTTTTGCCGAGCTTGTTATGAAGGGTTGGGATAGTAGAGAGAGTGGGTTTTAGAGTCGAATTGTGTCGAGCGACATGAGATAGATTGGGAAATTGTTTATGGCTCACGAGCCCTCGCCAACAGACATCACCCCAGACATTTCCCCCTAGGATGCATACAAATTCTAATGACTTTCACCACATAAGTAAATGATATCCTAGAGCTCTAATCAAAACGTGACTCGTTCAGCACCGACCATGCTTCAAAGTGCCAGCCACCCCACCATCATATCTTCTTTTCTCCTTTTTCTTTTGGTTGTGAGGTGTCGCGTCAATGAAAGTCTCCTCCCAATGCTCCACCTTGTACAGGTGCTAAGCCTTTCACGTAGGTAAAAAATCTGATGTGGCAAGTTATTTAAAAGGAGAGAGATGGGTGTGGTAACCCCAAGAAGAACTAATGCTAAGCGCGTGAACCTAGTCAAAACATCTAAAAGAAAGGAGCCCATCAATACATGAAGAGCTTTAGTTGCTAAATCATTAAATAAAGCAAGCTTAGCAATCATAAGCTAAGCACCTATGCATTGGGGAGTATAGTTGCTAAGCTATTTAATGTGCTTAGCACCTCATCTAAGTACTCATACATTGGCAGCAGCCGAATGGGAGTGTGCCTGGAATTTTGAAGGGCGTGTGCCTGGAATTTTGAAGGAGACAGGAGGTGCATTGGCTGTTGCCTGCCATGGGTCGAGTTAAGAGTTGATTAATTGGATTGAGGTGTCATGAAATGTTTTTTTTCTTCTAAAAAACGGAGTCATGAAATGTTGTTACTTAAGATAAAAGATATATATTGCGATATATTAACGAGCAAATCTAATGACTGGTTCAATCTATTGAGAAGCGAGATATGAGTTAAGCTATCAAGTGCTCATGAAACTCACGAGGCCTTTTGTCCATCAAACAAAGTAATCTGAATTTCTTCCTTTGAGCAATGGGGCTCCTCGCCCACAGCCTTTCAAAGGAGGAAGGGCCTTTACTTTAGGGTAGGAAAACCATTTGTAGAGAAAATAGGAGCATCACCAGTTCCCGAGGACCTGCAAAATGCTCATTGGAACCAAAGGACAACGTGATAACAAATAAAATGGTTCCAGCACTAACAGCCATACAATTAGCCTGTTCATTTTCCCTAACATGCCCAACGGGCAAACCCATCAGTGTCTGAGTTTAAGTTAACAACAACAACAACAACAACAACAACATGGAGTATGCCCATAACTGGACGCAACAATGCATCTTCTACCGGACCAAAACCAAAAGGTTCAACCTAGAATTCCCAAAGTGACTTCCTTCAACAACTACAGACAAACGCTTCCCACGACACTGTCAACACCTGTGATCGATCGTCCCAACTGTTCAATTGAAACTAAAAAAGCCAACACCAAAGCCACTACACCTGCGCATTATCATCATCATCATCATCTCCAGACCTAGTTGTTTCAGATGCCGCCGCTTCCCGACGACTTCCCGTCACCCCACATCGGCCCTTTCATCTTGAGGTCGCGCGCTGCCTGCTGGAACTGCTGTGCCTGCAGCAGGTGCAGTGGCTGCTGGTGGTGGTGGTGGTGGTGCTGAGGGCGCATCGGCTGCTGCTGCTGCTGGGGCTGTGGATGGAGCTGGAGCTGTTGCAGCTGGTGTGTCGCTAGCAGAGACTGCATGGACTGGTTGTTGTGGAACATCTGCTGGTTGCTTCCGAATTGGTGTGGCGCCTGTGACATGCCGCCATAGTTCATCAGCATCCCCCCACCGTTGCCCGTCTGGCCTGTTGCCACCTTCAGCCGCTGAACCTCCGTTTTCAGGGTGTCATTTAGAGCTGCACCAGAGGAAAAAGGAAAGTTAAGAAAACAGCAATACTTTAAAATTCCCTTGTGTACGTGCATAATAGGCATTGATGAGAATAAAGGTGTAAGCAGAGAGATAAAACTGAAAGAAACTTGTTTTTTTTTTTACAAAATTTTTTTGATGTCCATATATGGTTGGCGTACAATATAGACTAGATGCACAAAGTTTTTTCTAATCATCATTGACATCGTAAAGTTCCTTTTATACAGGTACTCAGATTGCAAACGACTGACTATCTTCTAACCCACAACTGACAGATCTTCTAACCCTGCTTCTATTATATGCATCAACATGACCTGCAAAGTCTTATTACTATGCTGTACACCAAATAACGCCTAGTTTTCAAGACTAGAATCAAGCGAATTTAGGGGTTAGAAATATGTGTATTACCATCTTGTAGGTGGACTTGCTGCTCCATGTTCTGCAGACGTATCTTCAATTCACCATTCTCACTTGTTAGCCCACTGGTATCTCTCTGGCATAGGAACATAATGAGAAGAATGGTCATTAGCTATCTGAATTAAACACATGATTTGGTTGATATTCATTGTTTTGATGGATGTGAATGCAGTAGATTTGACTGATGGAAAGTTGAGGGAAAATCCAGTTGCTAGAAGGCAGAAAGAACATGTTATAGCCTTAACAGTTATAGGTTTGACCAGAAGGAACTTCAATGCATTCAAATATCAACGTGCCAAACTACTGTACGTTGGCACACATTCCACACATGGTTTGCACTGTTTTTATCATCCATTTAGAATATGATATACAGTATAAAAAAGTCTACCTTCCTGCACACAGAAAATGCATGTAGTACTAGTATGGACATTCTAAAGATACATGAATGAAACCCCGTAATACCAACAATTAAGAACTGCACCACGAATGGGCAGCACTAGCTCTCTTTCTCAGATCACAATGCATGGTATTTCTTCTGGTTCATGTAATAGTTGCTACCTTCCTTGGTACACCACATTTTCTTTTCCTTTCTATAAACTTCTATAGTACAGCCATGGTGATTTATGTTACGTTTTAGAACTTGGCAATGACTAGTAGCCGGTCAATCCAAGTTCGGGAAATGCCTAAAGATTTTCTGACATCCAATGCTCTTATCTACCCAAAAGGCTTATGATTATGAAAAAACACTTGCATTTTGATTCAACTTAGGCTTCTCGACTGGGAAACCAGAAACACAAGCAGGCAAGCACAAAATATTGCAAAAGTACTTTAAGCAAGGTCTAATTATCACACAGATCGTTACCCAGGGGCCACAGGTGAGAAGTGGTAAGATGCATTGGCTATTTATTGAATATTGATATTATGTTTATTATGATATTGCTTTGAAGTGTGCTCCATACCATCTCTATTTTTAGTGCGTCTGTAACGGATATAGCTTGAGACCTGCCAACTAGCCCACCAACAAGTGGTACCTCAATATTATCACTCCGTTCCAAAATGCACATGGCATAGCAACACGGCAAAATTTCGTTATTAGTTTCAAAAACAGGGAGACAAGATATTGCATCTTGTAACATACAACATGATGCTTCCGACAGCATCATCACTATGTGGCTGTACTCAATGCCACTTGTGCTAATTATATACCAGAACTTCCATCTTTAAAATGGCTTTTCTTGAAAACATTCAATGCTATGTAAATATGACAGAAGATCTCCACGTCATCTTCAGGAAACAACCTTACACCAAAGGGCATGTAACAGAGGGTTTTTACTTTGAAAAATTTGGATGAAATTATTCAACCAATTCCTAAGCTCCAATGAATTCAGATAGAATACATCCCTACGCGCCAGTTTAACACATATATCAATCTGGGACCTACCAATCTAACTTGAGATAATGAAGTCATGTGTGGAATTTCCTTAGCCGCATCCAAAATGATCTCATAAATGGATTAAAACTTTATAAGCAGAAAAACTCTGAAGATAATGCATACCTGTAGCAATGACAACTGGGCTGACAATGTTGTTGCTTCTGTCTGCAGGGTTTGCACCTTGCGCTCAAGTTCACCAATATAGCGCATTTTCCTTTCCTTCGATCTTGCTGCGGATTGTCTATTAGCCCAAATCCTGTCAAATCATCCGAATCACAAATCAGCATATGCTCATGTGTACCACATAAACAGATGACCTTCATCTTCAACAAAAATGCTATCTAAAGAATGTAAACATAAGGGTGCTGAAAATGGGGCATCTGATTCCAATCACACTTTTGTCCAACAAATGGATCTCTTTCCTCGCGCCTCTAACCTATCTGAGACCTATCTCTTCTCAGTTCGTACAAGCATAGCATTTTACAGACGCATTTTACACCCACTCATGTGAAGTAGTGTACTAAATCCTGCCATAGCTAATAATCTCACCAGTGGATGAAGCAAATACTTGATGTGAAATACCGTTGAAGACAAAAAAGCAGGAATTTCACAAAAGGCTACCTGAACTCTATAGAAGATGATGGACATTACACAATAGTAGCAATTAAAGGAGAAATCGAACCTTTTTGCCCTCTTGGGGTCGACAAGAGCAAGCTCGGCCAGCTTCGCGGCGGACACCGCCTTCTTGGCCTCCACAGTGGACATCCCCTCCATCCCCGGCGCCCCCACCAGGTCCTCGGCCTTGATCGACATCGACTCGTCCATGGACTGGCTGTGCTGGTGCTTCGGCCTCATCACGTGGCCCGCCCTGGCCGCCTCGCCCCCGCCGGCAGCAGCGGCTGACGACGACTCCGCCTGGTCGGACGACGGCCCGCACGACGAGTTGAGCTTGTCCACGTCGAGGAACATGGAGAATAGCTCCTCGTCGTTCTCGTCCGACAGCGAGGGCCCGTCGCCGCCCCCGGGCGCGCAGAGGTCGAGGTCGTCCGGGAGGCTGAGGATCTCGGAGTGCGCGCGCCGGTGGCCAGGGTTCCTGGTGGGGAAGTCCGGCATGCGGCTGATGTCGTACTCCGGCGGGGGAGTCGCCGAGCGGCGCGACGGCTGCGGCGGCAGGCCGTCGCCGCCGCCGCCGTCCGCCGAGATCCGGGACCTGTCCTTGTTCATCTTCCCGGCACCAGGGCCCCGCCGAATCTCCTCAAACGCGCCGCCTTTTTGCAAGTCCACGGAGCTAATCAAGCTTCAGCCAAGAAAACAACACATACGGCTCAGAACTAAGATTACGCTGGAAAAGAATCGGAGGAAATTCTTGGCTAAAAGAAGAGCGACCAGAGCGCGGAAATCGGGTGGAAATTCTTGCGAGGGAAAGGGGGAGGAAGATCTAGGAGCTGGGTCGCAAGAACACGGAGCTGGGCAAGGGGAATGGGAGCGAGAGGCGAGGGTGGTTTGGGCTGTCTCACCTGAGATTCGAGCGGCGTTCGGCTCTCGCTGATCTATCACCCTCGCGCCTGCTGCTTATCACTTCTTGGCATCATTTGCATGAGGAGGCAGATGACATGATGATACAACTCAACACATGAAGGGGAGATTTATTTATAACAGTTTTTTATATTTACTTTTATTTTGTTTTTTAAATGGGGAAAAAAGAAGTGCCTAGGCTGCTTCATTCATTCCTTGTGAGGAGTGGACCAGCTATACTAGGGCATGTGATACAAAAACATTTGTAAAGTGAGAAAAGTCTGCTTCCTCTTGTACTAGAGATTTTTAGGAGTGTCGTCAAAAGTATATTTATGATGGTTTGTTTCCTCTCTTTAGGGAAATTCTTGTGTGTCACTGAATTCCGTAACGCTATGTTTAGATGTCTGTATTGGGGTTTCAAATTGGATTTCGTATTTCACAACCACCAATTCAAGTGTTTGGCATGTCAATGGAAACAACGGTCTGGAATCGATCCAATACAGCGATGAAATCAGTCCCACGCGTCGAGGCCTCCCACAATACGGAGCCCAACCCCTCCGATTTGTCCTGTATTCATGCCTCCCGCAAAAGAAAACGTTTCACAACCCGTCTTTTCTTCCCCGCTCGATCGAAGCAGCCACTCCCCACCCCGAGCGACGAGAGGCGGCGGCGCCAGCAGCGGCGGCGCCTAGGAAGCAACCGATGGCGGCCCTCCTCCTCACCCCCGCCGCCATTCCTCTTCCTCATGCCCTTCATTAGCCCTTCTCCTCATCTCCTCGTCATCTCCTCTGCCACCCCATGAACATAGGGTCGTCGTATCTCCTCTGCCCATGTCTGCCATGGCCTGGCTCTCCCCATCCGCCGCCGCTCCTTCTCCTGTTTCCCACTGGACCCCCTCTTCCTGTGCCGCCGGTTCCCCATCTTCCTCTTTGTGGTCAGCCGCCAGCCGCCAGATCCCCTCGTTTGCCCGCCAAGAAGAAAATTTCATGTATTTAAAGTCATTCTTCTTCTCATGAATACCAGCCTTATGTAACAGTGTTACAGTTTCTTCTTGCAAGATAAATTTTAATGCTACATTATCAATTATACTCACACATTGTATACATTTTTATTTGATGCATAACGAAGATGCAATTCCATAGTTTGCCATCCAAACCGAATTTGGTATTGAAACCTCCTTGCCATTACATGGGCCAATTCTATGAGAATGCAAACAAGCGAATTCGTATTCGTATCCATTACAGTTTCCTCGTTGAATTGGAACTGAAATCAATTCAATATGGAGGTCTTCAATATAGACATCCAAACGCAATGTAATTTAATTTGGCTCCTCGTATAGACAATGTTGGGTTGTTTGAATCATTTGGTATATTGAGCATCTTCAATTTCTGGCTACGCCACCAACAAGAAATGTTTCACTCACCAAGGGAGATGAAGGCTGTGGAGATACACCGGACCTACGACTTTTCGAGGATGAAGCATTTTTTATCATGACTGTTATAAGCGACACTGTTAGAACCAAGGATGGTTTCGCCTCTACCATCGATTCGATGCTAGTGGATGCTTGCCATCACGGGGACAGAGCAGGAGATGGTCCTTCAAGGCTAACATAAGACGACAATGACATGGTTGAGTTGTGGCGAGGACGACCAAGTGGGCATTCCGAAGGAGGAATATGATAGGTTGCGGTTGTGTTTTGGCACGCTTTGCCTGGGAGAAGTTGCTACTATGCAACATGTTATCATGAAAAAAAATACATGTTCACATATACTTCTCTTTGAAATCGGTAAGTATTGCTTCCTGCCAAAAGATTATATTGTTGTTTGAGGCGATTAATTAACTATAATCATTATTTGTTGTCATAAGAAACTATAACCATTATTTAGCATGTACGTGATTAGAATACATTAAAGGATAACAAATTTGGATACAAGTTCTTTCTCTTTAAGGCTTCCTATATAGTGTATATGCTTTATTTATTTCTTCAAGCGGTTCGTCAACAAGACAATTCCTATGACTATGGCCAATTTGGGACGGTTTAAAAAAGTTCCATTGAAGTGACTACCATGGAACTTGCTACCCAACAAAAAACAAGTTCATTGGTACTTCTCTATAGGAGCAATGTTGCTATTTCTAGGTAGTAAAACTTTTAGTGTTATTTAACATCTGCATGATTGGAATACATAGGGCATTTTCAAGGGCACATGAACCACATTTCTCCGCATGTATGGGGCGGGTTTGGGGAAGTCTGGATCATCCGGACTTGTAGGGCAGGCCTAGGGAAGCTCATTGGTGGTCACGACATAAAATTGGAATCATTAGTTGTTTGTCATTAAGGCTTCCTTTAGATGATTTATTGTTTTTATGTTCATGAACAATATTACATTGTTGGTGAACAATATTAAATTGTTGGTTTATTCCTACTAGCTCTTAAGATAGTTTGACAAACCAAATTGGGTGTTGGACCCAAAATTATGAGACCATCTCTCTCTCTCCCTCTCTCTCTCTCTGTGTGTGTGTGTGTGTGTGTTGATAACTTGATATGTGTATTTGCATCACAATTTCATAAGATAAAGTGCCGGTTTACAATGCTTATCCAACCACCATTTTAAAGGATATTCAAATATCATAGAGCTACTTTATCACTGTTCTTAGTCTTATTGCAAGGTTGTACCCAGGGGGACAAAAAGTTTGACAGAGTCAAGAATGAAGGTTTCATGAGGGAAAACACTTTTTCAAAACAAGGAAAAATAAAGCAAAAAATATATAGTTGTTTTAGAGGAAAATACCACCGAAGTCACAAGATGGACCCGGGAAAGCATGTAGGTGTTGGGGAACGTAGTAATTTCAAAAAAATTCCTACGCACACGCAAGATCATGGTGATGCAAAGCAACGAGAGGGGAGAGTGTTGTCTACGTACCAACACAGACCGACTGCGGAAGCGATCATACAACATAGAGGAAGTAGTCGCACGTTTTCCAAATCCGACCGATCCAAGCACCGTTACTCCGGCACCTCCGAGTTCTTAGCACACGTGCAACTCGATGACGATCCCCGGGCTCCGATCCAGCAAAGCGTCGGGGTAGACTTCCATCAGCACGACGGCGTGGAGACGATCTTGATGTTCTACTGTCGCAGGGCTTCGCCTAAGCACCGCTACAATATGATCGAGGTGGAATATGGTGGCAGGGGGCACCGCACACGGCTATGGAACGATCTCAATGATCAATTTGTGTGTCTAGAGGTGCCCCCTACCTCCGTATATAAAGGAGCCAAGGGGGAGGGGTGCAGCCAGCCCTATGGAGGCGCAGGAGGAGTCCTACTCTTACCGGGAGTAGGACTTCCCCCCCAATCCTAATTGGAATAGGATTCCCCGAGGGGGAAAGATAGAGAGGGGGGCCGACCACCTCTCCTAGTCCTAATAGGACTAGGGGAGGGGGAGGCGCGCAGCCCACCCTGGGCTGCCCCTTTCACCTTTCCACTAAAGCCCACTAAGGCCCATATGGCTCCCGGGGGGTTCCGGTAACCTCCCGGTACTCCGGTAAAATCCCGATTTCACCCGGAACACTTCCGATATCCAAACATAGGCTTCCAATATATCAATCTTTACGTCTCGACCATTTTGAGACTCCTCGTCATGTCCGTGATCACATCCGGGACTCCGAACAACCTTCGGTACATCAAAATGCATAAACTCATAGTAACTGTCATCGTAACGTTAAGCGTGCGGACCCTACGGTTCGAGAACAATGTAGACATGACCGAGACACGTCTCCGATCAATAACCAATAGCGGGACCTGGATGCCCATATTGGCTCCTACATATTCTACTAAGATCTTTATCGGTCAGACCGCATAACAACATACGTTGTTCCCTTTGTCATCGGTATGTTACTTGCCTGAGATTCGATCGTCGGCATCCAATACCTAGTTCAATCTCGTTACCGGCAAGTCTCTTTACTCGTTCCGTAATACATCATCTCACAACTATCATCTTAGTTGCAATGCTTGCAAGGCTTATGTGATGTGCATTACCGAGAGGGCCCAGAGATACCTCTCCGACAATTGGAGTGACAAATCCTAATCTCGAAATACGCCAACCCAACATCTACCTTTGGAGACACCTATAGAGCTCCTTTATAATCACCCTTTTATGTTGTGACGTTTGGTAGCGCACAAAGTGTTCCTCCGGTAAACGGGAGTTGCATAATCTCATAGTTATAGGAACATGTATATGTCATGAAGAAAAGCAATAACAACATACTAAACGATCGGGTGCTAAGCTAATGGAATGGGTCATGTCAATCAGATCATTCAACTAATGATGTGACCTCGTTAATCAAATAACAACTCTTTGTTCATGCTTAGGAAACATAACCATCTTTGATTAACGAGCTAGTCAAGTAGAGGCATACTAGTGACACTCTGTTTGTCTATGTATTCACACATGTATTATGTTTCCAGTTAATACAATTCTAGCATGAATAATAAACATTTATCATGATATAAGGAAATAAATAATAACTTTATTATTGCCTCTAGGGCATATTTCCTTCAGTCTCCCACTTGCACTAGAGTCAATAATCTAGATTACACTGTAATGATTCTAACACCCATGGAGCTTTGGTGCTGATCATGTTTTGCTCGTGGAAGAGGCTTAGTCAACGGGTCTGCAACATTCAGATCCGTATGTATCTTGCAAATCTCT